TGTGGATGAACGTCTCTGTGCAGTGTACAAAGAGCCTTATGCATGAAGAATCATTTATCAATTATTAATCAATAAATAAATTTAAAATGTGATCACTCACCACCATTATAACTGAAATGTGAGTTTCATGAGCACTGTAAAAATGCAATAAAGGCTCTTTAAACGTCTCCATAAATGATTTCCACTTAATGTGTTGCTTTTTGTCGGTTTAAACATGTATTGCTGCAGGTGTGTGAAACAATATATATATGTTATATATATATATAAGATATAAATCAAATATATAAATCAGAAATATTCTGACTAGAAAGTCAAAAAAAAAAAAAAACTAGGTATTAAATAAAACTCATTTGAATTCTTACTTAAATTATCAACAAACTTGCAAACTTGATTGAAACATGACAGGGCGACTAGAATACGAATGAGCCTTTAATCACACTGTATGTTCCTGAAAGTGTTGGAGTGTTGCCACTACCAGTGTTGGGGAAAGTTACTTTTAAAAGTAATGCACAATATTGCGTTACTCCCTAAAATATAACTAATTGCATTACTTTTTTATGGAAAGTAATTTCTAATAGTAATACTTTGGCATTACTTCTCATCTGGGCTGGGCTTGCTTGTTTGTTTGTTTTTAATACAAAAAAAAATGTATTCTATTTTTGGCAAACGTAAAGGCCACTAAAGGTGCATAAGGGAAATTAATAAGAATGAAATGCAAACTCAAACCTGTACAGAGGGCGCAATTCAGACAAGAATGTTCATCACTCTTCAACAATAAAAAAAAAGAAGAAAAAAAAGTGATGTTTATCTAAAGTCCTTTTTGCTTATTGGTATGGTTGAATTGGATTATTTTTATCCCTTAATATTACTTATAATACTTGTTATATTACTTATACTTATATATTAAGCAGTAAAGACATTGGTTAATAAAGGGAGATTAAATACAAATTATATCTGTTTTAAGATATTTAATTAGCTCAGGTTTGCGTAATATTGGATATTCTGAGTTTGCATTTCACTTTTTTTTATTGATTTTAATGAATACTGAATCTGTTTTTGTTTAAGTAAGATGAGTAAATGCCTGCTCACATTTAGTCTAGAACTACAATAACCATCATGTTTACACACAACACCTCTATACTTACGATATCTCTCAACATGTAGACAGGAGAGCTGTCAGTCAATAAATGGAAAAATCAAAGTAACTTAGGCCGATTTGAAATGTAAATTTTGTTGTAAATTTTGTAAGTAATTTGTTACTTTACTAGTTACTTGGAAAAAGTAATCGGATTACGTAACTTGGATTACTTGTAATGCACAATGCCCAACACTGGCCACTACAAGGCTTGCTGTAATTTATGCTGTTTGGTGTGTTTAGTGTCAGGACTAACATGGAGGAACCGTTGTTGCGATCCCCTAATAAATATCTGCAGGGGTGACTGTGGTTGCCTCAGCCCCGGTAACTGGGGGAATGTCTGTCTGAGACGAAACATTTAAGAGAGGTGAAAAGTTCAAAGAGGAAAGTCAGTTACTGTACGAGAAGCATTTCCATAGAAATGTCCAGTTGTTCCCTCTTCAATTCCTTCTCATTTTTTGTTAGTCAATCTGTTATTTTTATCGTTGCGGCTTGGTTTCGTTCTCTCAGGTTTGGAAACGTTAAACAGCTGATTCATGTCCTCAGTGTTATGAGGCAGGAGCGAACAGCAGAATCCTAATGACGTTTTCACTGACTGATCATCAGCCAAGACAAAGCCAAAACCAGACTCCGAGACTACACTAATCTGTCAAACTATGTTTGTGCATTTATGTTTGTTTATGCGTGTGCATGTTGACTCTGAGGAATACAAATTTAAATTATATGGGAATCATATCTAACACAACAAATAACAAGTCCAGTGTAAAGTGAAAAAAATCTTTTTTGCCAAAAAAATCCAGCCAGGTGCTCCGCTTAGAAGACAAGAGACATTTGTTGTGCTTCAAACGCTGCAGTGTTTTTAACAACTAAATGTTTGTTAAATTAAATGAAAACTTTATAAATATAATGAATGACCATAAAATAAAAATAGATAAAAAAAAATAGTAGTAAAAAAACAACTAAAATAAAATAAAAAGGATCTCTATTTAATTAATTAATATATATATATATATATATATATATATATATATTGTAAATGTTTATAACCTGGCATGAAAATGCCACTAGATATCGAGATGGTGAGAAAGTCCTGAAAATGTTCATGTTAAACATGAAATGTTTTTGGTATCATTTCGCATCAACTTTGGCAGCCCTAAAATACTGAAACTAAATACTGAGTTATTGAAAGGGAAAATACAAAAATTCTTAAGAGTTTTAAAAAATGGACAAAGAACATGTCATTCTAAAAAACACAACGACACGTTGCCCACAGCATTAAGATAATAAATGCATTAAGACATTTTCTCAGATGAATTCTAAAGAAATGCATTCTTTCTCGGTCACAACTGGTCTAACATGCGCAAGATTAACTTTGTTGTCTGACTGTCAAAAGACCAGAGGAACACCGTGACTAACAAATGAAGCCTTAAAGGCAGTGAACACAGAAAAAAAAAATGCAGTAAAGAAATACGTTGCATAAGTCACTTCTTTACATGGGCCTCATTCCTGCCTGAACATAATGTTTCTCTTCGCACTATATTTCACTGAACTGAGAGACGAGGGGGAGCAAACGCTATAAATTCAGTCCCTCCTTCCTTGATACCACAATGGCGTGTATTCACAGAGAAAAGCAGTTAGTACTGTGACTGGCTTAGACTGACTCCAAATAGACAAAGACTGATGCTGAGAAACACACTGTTAGCAAGAATCACTTACAAACACACATAATGGGTATTAGAGAACACTGAAAATGATACTATATACTGTATATTCAAGACTAAAAACAAGCATACAAGTTTGTTTTATGCATATTATTTTATTGGAAAATATACACTGGACTTTGCACTGCAAGTCTCATGTCAAGATACATAATCATATACTGTTTATCTAACCTATTGGTTTGTATTCTTTTGCTTATCCCAGGGTTCTCAACTAGACTTACTGTGACATTTCTCTGAGACATTTGGTACAATACTGATTTTTAGCTGCCTAAGCAAGAACTAGCAGCTTTTTAAGATCATATTTGAGCCATTCAACTCTTTTGAGGAGGCCAAAATACTTTCAAAATAATATAAAAGGAGGACAATTGGTCCTGTGGTCAGTGTTGGTGTGCCCGTATGATGGACACCTGTCACTCAAACCCTGAGCTAAACAAAGTCGTCAAGCTGAATGGAATTTTGCCCCTGGCATCGACATACCCTTTCATTTGAGCAACGCCCCATAATACATTTCCAAAGAAAGCTTGGCACCTTTTCATACACTTTTCTCAGTTCATCACAAACATTCCAAGTCCCATGTGCTTACTTTCCAAGTATAATAACACTTTCCTGCATTCTGAAATACACTACTAGCCAGTGATATAGCCTATATATACACTCACCGGCCACTTTATTAGGTACACCTGTCCAACTGCTCGTTAACACTTAATTTCTAAGCAGCCAATCACATGGCGGCAACTCAGTGCATTTAGGCATGTAGACATGGTCAAGACAATCTCCTGCAGTTCAAACCGAGCATCAGTATGGGGAAGAAAGTTGATTTGAGTGACTTTGAACGTGGCATGATTGTTGGTGCCAGAAGGGCTGGTCTGAGTATTTCAGAAACTGCTAATCTACTGGGATTTTCACGCACAACCATCTCTAGGGTTTACAGAGAATGGTCCGAAAAAGAAAAAACATCCAGTGAGCGGCAGTTCTGTGGGCGGAAATGCCTTGTTGATGCCAGAGGTCAGAGGAGAATGGCCAGACTGGTTCGAGCTGATAGAAGGGCAACAGTGACTGAAATAACCACTCGTTACAACCGAGGTATGCAGCAAAGCATTTGTGAAGCCACAACACGCACAACCTTGAGGCGGATGGGCTACAACAGCAGAAGACTCCACCGGGTACCACTCATCTCCACTACAAATAGGAAAAAGAGGCTACAATTTGCAAGAGCTCACCAAAATTGAACAGTTGAAGACTGGAAAAATGTTGCCTGGTCTGATGAGTCTCGATTTCTGTTGAGACATTCAGATGTTAGAGTCAGAATTTGGCGTAAACAGAATGAGAACATGGAACCATCATGCCTTGTTACCACTGTGCAGGCTGGTGGTGGTGGTGTAATGGTGTGGGGGATGTTTTCCTGGCACACTTTAGGCCCCTTAGTGCCAATTGGGCATCGTTTAAATGCCACGGCCTTCCTGAGCATTGTTTCTGACCATGTCCATCCCTTTATGGCCACCATGTACCCATCCTCTGATAGCTACTTCCACCATGTCACAAAGCTCTAATCATTTCAAATTGGTTTCTTGAACATGACAATGAGTTCACTGTACTAAAATGGCCTCCACAGTCACCAGATCTCAACCCAATAGAGCATCTTTGGGATGTGGTGGAACGGGAGATTCGCATCATGGATGTGCAGCCGACAAATCTGCGGCAACTGTGTGATGCCATCATGTCAATATGGACCAAACTCCCTGAGGAATGCTTCCAGCACCTTGTTGAATCTATGCCACGAAGAATTGAGGCAGTTCTGAAGGCAAAAGGGGGTCCAACCCGTTACTAGCATGGGGTACCTAATAAAGTGGCCGGTGAGTGTATATTTTTTTTTAATAAGTCCTTTATGCTCACCAAGGCTGCATTTATCTGATCAAAAATAAAGTAAAAAACTTAATATTATTGCAAATTTAAAATGACTGTTTTCTAGTTTACAATATTTTAAAATGTAATTTATTCCTGTGATGACAAAGCTGAATTTTTAGCATCATTACTCCAGTCTTCAGTGTCACATGATCCTTCAGAAATCATTCTAATATGATGATTTGCTGCTCTAGAAACATTACTTGTCATTATCAATGTTGAAAACAGATGTGCCGTTTAATTTGTTTTGTGGAAACCATGATCATTTTTTTCAGCATTTATTTGAAATAGAAACCATTTGTAACATTATAAATGTCTTTACTGTCACTTTTGATCAATTTAACGCATCCTTGATGAGAAAAAGTATTAACTTATTTTACAAAAATCTTACTGACTCCACACTTTGAAAGTTAGTGTACATCAACCTTTAAACCATTCTTAACATAAAAAAATCTTTCTTTTACACCTCTTAGTTTTCTTTCCAACACTGCAACTCTGAATACATAAAGGTAAATGCATCTCTGTGCAAGTCATTCCTAAGTGGCAGCAAATGTGAAATTCTGTGTGTACATGTATTACTGAGAATGATTCAAGGCACTGGTCACTTCCTGTTACAACCTGCATTCAAATCCTGTCTGCATGAGATTTTTTCCAAAATCCTCAGGGAAAAAGCAGACGGATAAACAGAAATAGACACACACACACAATAAACACTTAAAAAAAGTGAGAGTACAGAGGACTTGTGACTTGCACAGATCAGGTGCGGCATAAATCGCCAGAGCTCAATTTCCAGCCAGAAATAAACATGTAAAATCATGTTGTAGTCTCTGCAAAACCAGCTGCTTTTACAATTCTTGTTTCTAACTCATCTTCTGTTACTATTAGCACAACTCGGTTCAGACAGAGTCACTATATAAAAATAGATTTATACATAAACATATATATACTCGTATATAAAAATGGCTGAACAATGGGATATAAATAAAAGTGAAAAAGGCTTCACATTCTGTGTAACAAACGAACAATTTGGTAAATTCAACATTCATTTAATAAAAGTGCATCTGATCCAAATGAGTCCGATATACTGCCATACGACACTCAAGGCACTTTCTTAATACGTTTTCTTTGGCTGGGCTGAAGAGAAAAATATACATCTTAATGTGCTCTCAATATCTCACCACACCCTAAATAACCGATAAAACGCCTTACGAGATTCCCAATTTGACATCTTATCACTATGGGAAGACTATTAGTGAGATTAGCTGCATCTTAAAGACTGTACTGCTGCTCTCTACAGGACACCATAAGGCACTACGGTGGTACAAAACTACGTATTACGGTTCGTCCAAAGAACCTCTTCACTTTAACCTCATGCCCTGACCCTCAAGTCAAAAAAGAGAGCAAGCTGCTTTCTGTAACAGACTAAATGCTACTTACAAACGACAAATCAAGGAAGTGCAATTCTATAAAGATTAATCAAAATATAAGATTAACCACAAATTCAAAGCATCCGAGACTGACGTGCGCAAGACCCTCATTTGTCGAAGGCAGAAACAAACCGAGACACAATTGTTACGCTTCCTCTAACACTAAGTGCCTGTAGTCAAAAACAAGATCCCGGGAAACTGGCACGTAAAGCATTGGCTTCACAACTCTGCTGTGGACTGTATGAAACATTCATTACTAGGAGACATTCTTGATGTCTGAAAACCTCATTCAAGGAGATTCAGACCCTGTTGGCGTCAGAAGGCACATTTGGCAGTTGTTGTAATAAGTTCTGTAATAAGTAAAGCTGTAATAAACAGCTCAGACAGTATCATGTTTGTTTCATCTGCTCTTACACCATCAACCTGTTTATTCCTGAACTAAAGAGTGTATGCAGCACGAAAGTCCTGTGGCGCCCCCTGCTGTCACAAAGACACCACATTTTAAACTGATAGAGAATAAACCAGTTTTGTGACCTAATCCAGGCAACAGCTGATTGGGTGCTGGCAGGTCACATGCTCTGGAAACATAGATTGCCTTTGGAACTGAGTTTATCACACTCTTGGATGTTTTTGAACAGGGAAACTAACAAGTTGAAGCAGTTGGATGGACAGTGGGCCTCCTCAGCACAAGATCTGTGAGAAGGGATGTCTGAGCAGCTCCTCCGCACTCGGCCGGTATTTGGCCTCCACGAAGATGCAGCGTAGGAAGTCCCGCGTGTGCTCGGAGATGTGGGAGGGCAGCTGGGGGTTGGTGGGCTGAGTGGCGATCTTAAATATGGCCGCCATGGCCTCGTATTCAGCCCAAGGGGGCTTTTCTGTCAACATCTCCACCACAGTGCAGCCAAGACTCCTGTTCACACAACATACAGTTTAAGATTAATGACCCGTTAGGTCACATGATATTTTTTATTTTACATGCCACATGTTTTCAAGTACCGTCTGTTAATTTGTCAGTAAAGTTATAGATTCCAGATGTTTCAGATTATAGTTCCAGGTGTTTATCTCATACATTTTGATTGATTTTTGGCAATTATCTTTTTAATTTAGCCTCAAGTAAATTTATTATACTTTTTATGGATGTTTATAGACATTTTGTAATTTGAAAATAAGATGAAAATACTGATCAAGAATGTTTTTTTATAGTGTTATATGCTAGTGGCCTATATGGAGACCCAGACAACCACAAACTTTCCGAGCTGACTTTCAGCCAATCATATTGCTCCCCTGACCTGACGGGAGACTGTCCAATCAGTTTATGTCGAGGAATCCCTGAGCAGCAACTAAGCCACTCCCACTGAATGAGAATATGTGCAGTTAGGGTTAAAAAAACAGGGATGTTCTTTTTCTCCAATTTTAAAAAGCTTTTCTTTGGCATGTTAAAAATAGATTCTTAATATTTAGAAAATGTTGCTTTTTTTTAACTCTCCGCAACAGATCACAATCATGTCTGTTTAATAAACAATTTACAGTAAAAATTGGCTTGGACTAGATGAGCTCATCTAAATGGTGCAAATTTGTTGCTGTTTATATTACTGCAAGAATCACTCTAACATTGACTTCCATAAATCCCAGCTGCTTTTCTCACTCTAGTAAAAATATGCAGGTTTAAGGTTCCCATGATTGAAGATGGAAAATGCTGTTCCAAAGCATGCACGTGCTTCTCTCGATCTCAAAATCTCTTTGTCTTAAAATGTTTTTTTCTTAGTTTAAAAAAATATATAAAATTTACAAACAAAACAAACAAAAACCTGGTCTCACCAAACGTCTGCCTTCCGGCCGTACCCCTCTCCGCTGATGACCTCTGGGCTCATCCAGTACGGCGTTCCGGTAACAGAACGGACCCCAGTGCTGGACATGCAGATGGTCTGAAGCCGTTTACTGGCACCAAAATCTCCCAGCTTCACATTGCCGGCTGAATCTCGCAGGATGTTGGCACCTGAATGCACCGAAGGAAGTGACCACGGAGAACAGTTAACATGCAGTGGACCGAAAGATCTAGATAGTTCTAGATATTAGATATAATGTCAAGCTGTCAGTCTGTAGACACGACAGAGCGCAAGTGTTTTTTTCTTAATATCCAGTTCTCCTGTTGTTCAGTTTACTATCTGCGACAAGGTAAGACTATTTTCGATTCTCTGGTTATTTTAAAGTTTGACCTTCAAACAAATCTTTATTTTAATTAGACGCGTTCCGACTTTCAAATAAAAGCCGCGTCTGAAAGTATTGCAGTTTAAATTTTATAGCACTTAAGTGGAGCGCCCTCCAAACAGCTAGTTTCAATTTGTCCCATTTTCGGATTATTTGCTTTTGCTGTGCTAATTGCTGGACCGAGGCAGCTGTACTCACATTTAGGCGATTGAAAGCAATATATCTATGTAGTGTGCGCGCTGTCGCGGAAGCATCAGCGTTCAGCCTTCTCGGGTAAAGACCTGCGACTCCACCGAGCAAGGAAACCAGCAAGGCACTTAAGTATCTTCTCCCCTCTCCTCACCACTTGACCTTATTTCCTTTACTCAACATGTGCTTTCAATACATTCCTGTTGTCTCTCGACAACGCTCTCTCATCACGCACAGAAGGCAGCGCAATACTGCTAATCTGCATCCTATTCTCTCATCCTCACACACACCTCTCACGCTTTCTATGGGTCTATGGAATTGTCAGTCAGCACTCAATAAAGCGGACTTCATTACAGCCTTTGTATCTCATTCTACTCTTAGTATCTTGGGCTTGACTGAGACCTGGATCCGTCCAGAAGACTCAGCAACCCCTGCTGCTCTCTCTAACAACTTCTCTTTCTCTCACACCCCTCGCCAGTCGGGGAGGGGTGGGGGTACTGGTCTTCTCATTTCTAACAATTGGAAATTCTCAACTCTCTCCTCTCTATGCAATGACATCTCGTTTGAATATCATGCCATTACACTAACAACTCCCATTAAGATCCACATTGTAGTCACATATCACCCCCAGGTCAACTGGGAAGCTTTGTAGAGGAGCTAGATGTGCTGCTGTCCTCTTTCCCTGAGGATGGCATCCCACTTGTAGTCTTTGGTGATTTCAACATTCATCTAGAGAAGCAGTATGCAACACACTTCATCTCTCTCCTAGCCTTTTTCGATCTTAAACGGCTCATCACCACAGGTACTCACAAATCAGGCAACTAACTGGACCTGGTTTACACACGCAACTGCATCACAGACAACATTTTGGTGAAACATCTCCACGTTTCAGATCATTTCCTCATTTCTTTCAATTTACAACTCACTACCCATGCACCACCAACTCCCCTACCAGTTACTTTCAGACAAAACCTGCACTCACTTTCTGCCTCCCACCTTTCCTCTGCTGTGTCATCTTCTCTTCCCTCACCCTCACAATTCTTATCTCTGGATGTGAATACGGGAACGGATACTTTATGCTCCCCTTTACCTACTTCTTTAGACAATATCTGCCCTCTCTCCTCCAGGCCAGCACGCGCTACTCCCTCTAATCCCTGGTTATCTGAGGTTCTTCGCGAACACCGGACCAAACTCAGGGCAATGGAGAGGAAATGGCGCAAATCAAAAGACACATCTGACCTGAGTATGTATCAATCTCTGCTCGCTTCCTTTTCTGTTGATGTTCACGCTGCGAAATCTTCGTATTTCCACAACAAGATCAACAGCACCTCTAACACACGAACAGTTTTCAAGACATTCAACTCCACCTCGACCACCACCCACCTCCTCTTTAACTGCTGATGATTTTGCTAACTTCTTCACCAACAAAACAACTACTATCAGCAGTCAGTTCTCAGCTCCACACACACAGGAACCCAGACCAACCTTTCCCACAGCCAAAAACCTTCTCTCTTCCTTCTCTCTACTAACCGAGGAAGAAGTATCTAAACTTCTCCTCTCCAATCATCCTACCACCTGCCCTCTAGACCCCATCCCCTCACACCTTCTACAAGCCATCTCTCCCACACTTCTACCAGCACTCACACACATCATCAACTCATCTCTTCACACTGGCATTTTCCCTACAGCATTCAAGCAGGCTCGGGTAACTCCACTGCTTAAAAAAAACAACATTAAACATCACTTTTAGAGAAATACAGACCTGTCTCTCTCCTACCATTCATTGCGAAAACACTAGAACGAGTTACTTTCAACCAAGTATCATCTTTCCTGTTTCTGACCAACCAGCTGGATGTCAACCAATCTGGCTTCAAGAAAGGGCATTCAACCGAGACTGCATTGCCGTCGGTCACAGAAGCCCTGCGGACCGCAAAAGCTGCTTCCAAATCATCAGTTCTCATTAGGGCTGGGCGATAAAACGATAACGATAATTATCGCGATATATTTTTTCTCGATAAAACGATATCAAGAGGTCGATAAATGTTCGATAATATGTCTGCGCCAAAAGCGGAACGAAACTCATTTGAACCGCGCGCGCCTCACGGACTGTTTATCCGCTCGGCTCAAAGTCCAAACGGCAGCGCGGCGCGAGGCGAGCTCACTAGAGCAGACGCGTTTACTCTGATCGTCTCGCTCACGAGATCCAGTGAGAAGCGCTTAAGTTCAGCGAAGAACACAAATGTCCAGTTTAAATCAGTTCAAAGGCAGATGAAACACCGCTGACAAACAGGAGAAACACTGTGCGCAGCGAAACAGTAAGAATCTGAATTGATACTGAATCCATTTAGCCTACCATGGATTTACTGTAACGTTAGCCTAGTAATATTAACTGCACCATGAAATGTGGGAAATACATTTTAAATTGTATAATATTATTAATGTAGACAATGTATTAAATGACTAATGGAATATAATTACAGTATTTAATAATGTATTTAACTGTTAGGCTACTGTTTTTCATACAAATACCATAGAAACCATAAAGTTACATTTTGCCATGATAGTGAGGTGCTATGGGCTGTACCTGGCTTTATCTGTGGTTATCATGATCTAAATGCATAATACTGGATGACCAATGGTTAATTTTAATAAAACTCAAACAGTCAGAATATTACATTTTACCAAATAAAAATGTGGTCCTTAAATAAAAATAAAAAAAAAAACAGATGTTACTGTTTTTGTTAATGAACATAAATTTAACATAGTAGTATTAGCTTGAGTTAGGATGCAGATTTACTGTCAACTCACTGTCAAATATGCATTTCGAGACAAAACATGTAATTTGCATATTCCAGCCTGCACTGCAAACTGTGCTGGAGAAATATTTTTCTCTTCAGATATTTATTTTGTTAAGGAAAAATGACAAATGTTTGAATGTTCTACCTCAGATTTTTAAAACCACAACGCTCTGGTTTATACAACTTTCACTTAGGAGCAAAAATCTGCCTTTAAACTTGAAAGAAATAAAGATTTGACATTTATCGTGATAATTATCGATATCGACTGATATATAAAAAAATATCGTGATAAATTTTTTTGGCCATATCGCCCAGCCCTAGTTCTCATTCTCCTGGATCTGTCTGCTGCCTTCGACACTGTGAACCATCAGATCCTTCGGTCCACCCTCTCATCACTGGGCATCACAGGTACTCCTCTCTACTGGTTTGAGTCCTATCTCACAGGTAGGTCCTTCAGGGTCGCATGGAGAGGCGAGGTATCCAAAGCACATCAACTGACAGGGGTTCCCTCAGGGTTCAGTTCTTGGACCACTCCTCTTCTCCATTTACACCACATCACTGGGACCCATCATACAGGCACAGGGTTTCTCTTACCATTGCTATGCCGATGACACCCAGCTCTACCTCTCATTTCAACCAGATGATCCCTCAGTAGCTGCACGTATCTCAAGCTGTCTGGCGGACATCTCGGAATGGATGAAGGAACATCACTTGCAGCTCAACCTGGCAAAGACAGAGGTTCTCGTCCTCCCAGCCAATCCGTCTCTACGACTTCACTATCCAACTAGATTTATCCTCAATCACCCCATCAAGGTCGGTCAGAAATCTTGGAGTAACATTTGATGACCAGCTGACCTTCACAGACCACATTACAAAGACAGCTCGATCATGCCAGTTTGCACTGCACAACATCAGGAAGATCAGGCCTTTCCTAACTGAGCATGCAACACAACTTCTCGTCCAGGCCCTGGTTATCTCTAGGCTTGATTACTGCAATGCTCTTCTGGCTGGACTTCCATCATGTGCAACTAAACCTCTACAAATGATCCAGAATCCGTCCTACTTTCACTCGCTCCTACGAGTCTACATCCCTACCAGAAGCCTACGATCGGTCAATGAGCGACGGCTCGTGGTACCATCAGAAAGAGCCACAAAATCACTCTCCAGAACATTCTCATTCACGGTACCATGCTGGTGGAATGATCTGCCCACCCTCATCCGGAATGCAGAATCCCTGACAGCATTCAAAAGAGAGCAGAAAACTCATGTCTTCCGTGAGCACTTAATCTTTATTTATTTTTCCTTTAAATCCTCCCTTGTCTGGCTTATGCTACTCTGAGCAGTGCCTGAACTTTGTATTTTGAGCACTTCTTGCATTGTTTTTGCCTATTCACGATGACTCGCTTGCTTTAGTCCTCAGTTGTAAGTCGCTTTGGATAAAGGCGTCTGCTAAATGACGAAATATAGATAGGCTATATTCAGGGTTTGAAATGAAATTTTTCACTCACCAGCCAATTTGGCCATTATTTTTTTAAGTAACCGGCTATGAATGGCCATAAACTATGAATGGCCAAAGATTAACTATGTCACAGCTTGTATATTATAAAATTTGGATTTCATACGTTCATTTCTTATTCAAACAAAATCCTGTCGTACAGCCATATCCTCCCTTCCTCTGTCATCCTCATCACCAAAAATGTGTTGTAGGTGGACAGATCAATACAGTACAAAGAACATTAAAAAAAAAGTATGATGTTGGTAAATAACAATGTCTCAATGCTTTTTAATATTCGCTATTGCTTCAATGCAAATGAACAAGCGCGCAGTTATTTGTTGCGTAGTGACATGCATAGTCAAGTAAGCCAGATATCTGCAGATTCTGTGCAATATGCTGTATTTAATATATCATGACGACTCACGAGTTGAGTATTTGCGCTAAATCTGCGCAGATTTGGCTCACACGAAATTCCCCAGCAAAGAGAGAAAACATAATAAGTAACATGCCAAAATGGCTAGTGTTTTGACAGCGTTACGCCACAGTTGATTTTTACCCGCATTGGTGGGTGTTAATTTCAAACCCTGGCTATATTATAGATATACAAGCTATACTAAAAGTATGATCTAAAAGTATTTGAATATGAAAACTAAATTTTTTACTCAGAATACTCACTATTCAAATATTACTAATTTTCTACAGAATAAATTTCCCATTGGTCAGCAGTGTGAATTTACAAACAAATTGAACTTTGACATAGTACACTTGTTTCAAATAACTAATTGTTGCAACAACACAAAAAAAGTGTTTGTTTTTGACTATGTGAGGTCTAATGCCAGGCTGTACCTTTGATGTCCCTGTGGACGATCATGTTGCTGTGCAGGTAGGACATGCCCTCCAGAATCTGTCTCGTATACTTGCGCGTCACATTCTCTGTCAAGGCCCCATAGGCCTTTAGCTGGTCTTTGACTGAACCCTGAGGGGTCAAAAACCACAGCACCAGTGAATCACGCTGAACTCTACACCACAACCACAGTATTGCTATCAAACAGGTGTGTGATGACACATTACAACCCTTAAGATAAAAAAATAAAAATAAAAACATTAGAGTGATAATGAAAATATAAATAAAAATTGTGTCATTAATTACTCATTCCAAACCTGTATGCTGTTCATTTTATTTTATCGCTGGAACACTAAAGTAGTAGTTTCCATAGATGTAGTTTGTCATATTATATTTGAGTTGTGAGTTGCAGCAGAGGTGCATAAGCCTCAATGAATAAGACTCAGATTAATCAATTAGATAAATGAACGATACTTTTGGTTCATTTCTCACAAAAAGCCATCATATGGCTTCAGAAAATGTATATAATGATCTAAAAATTTATAAATGCATATATGAAAACGTAGTGTACGGTAAATGTAAATATACACTACCAGTAGAGTTTGGGGTCAGTAACATTTTTGGAAAAAAAATAATGCTGAGTAGAATTATATTTTAAAATATTCAAATAGAAAACAGTTATTTTTAATTCTAATAATATTTCACAATATTACTGTGAAATATTATTGAATTTTTGATCCAATAAATGGGTGGCCATTAGAGACTACATTCGAAAAAATAAAACAATCTTACCCACCTCAAACCTTTGAACTGTAGTATACATCCATACATGCATGCATATATATATATATATATATACTGTATATATGTATATATATATATATATATATATATATATACACACACACACACACACTCACTTAAAGGGGTCATATAATGGTACATGCACTTTTACAAGTTGATTGTACTGAAATGTGTGTTGGCAGTGTCTGTACACAACCATCATATAATGATAAAAATCCATCCAGTGTTTTTGTTTTAATCTCCTTATATGTTTTCCCCTGCCTCAAATCGAGCCGTTCGACGTCACACGGTCGGACGCCCCTCCCGCGATTGTTGATTGACAGGCGCGTTTCAACACAGACCCGCCCTCGCTCGTGAGCCAGCTGTCAATCATAGTCTGCGCGGACCGGCGCGGTCATTGTTGATATGCTGGAGCACTGTCTATGAGCAGAATGGCGTCCAAGCGATTGTGGTGTTCTGTTCTTGGGTGTAATAACCAACACAGTCATTTTAATGTTCCTAAATCCGAACCGCTGAAGACGCAGTGGCTGATTTTGTTTTCGAAGGGAATATTCCCCACGAGCAACGTCAATGCTTTCATGTTTGCGCGAATCATTTCTCACCAGACTGCTTTATAAACGAGGATCAGTATAAAGCTGGTTTTGCTGAGCAGCTGCTCCTGAAAAAAGGATCGGTACCAGCAATTCGTGTTCCTGCTGAACCTCTAGAACAACTGAAGTGAGTGTAACGTTTTATTAAACTTTATATTAATATTTTTATCTTTGCAAATCGCTTCACGATGAATGAGTCTAAGGTTTACACTCAGGGTACATTACTGCATGTTTTCTATGTACAACGTTCTCCATATAATTCATAATCCCACGTTTATAATGAACAATGCGTTATGGTTATTGTGTTACAAACGGTGTACGCACAGAACAGAGGGGCGGAGTGAGCAAAGCTCATGATCATTTAAAGGCATATGCACTGAAACGGCGTGCTGAAAACCAGGTAAAATAAGTGTTTTCTTACAATACTAATGAGAATTTTTAATTAAAGTATATTACAAACTTTTAATTTAGACCCTAAAGAATCATATTAGCTTGTACAAAAATGGCATTATATGACCCCTTTAAAGGATTATTAGGAACACCTGTTCAATTTCTCATTAATGCAATTATCTAATAAACCAATCTCATGGCAGTTGCTTTAATGCATTTAGGGGTGTGGTCCTGGTCAAGACAATCTCCTGAACTCCAGACTGAATGTCAGAATGGGAAAGAAAGGTGATTTAAGCAATTTTGAGCGTGGCATGGTTGTTGGTGCCAGACGGGCCGGTCTGAGTATTTCACAATCTGCTCAGTTACTGGGACCATTTCTACCATTAGAATTCTACCATTCTTATCTCTGGATGTGAATACGGCAACGGATACTTTATGCTCCCCTTTACCTACTTCTTTAGACAATATCTGATAAGATAAGAATTCTAGGGTTTACAAAGAATGGTGTGAAAAGGGAAAAACATCCAGTATGCGGCAGTCCTGTGGGCGAAAATGCCTTGTTGATGCTAGAGGTCAGAGGAGAATGGGCCGACTGATTCAAGCTGATAGAAGAGCAACTTTGACTGAAATAACCACTCGTTACAACTGAGGTATGCAGAAAAGCATTTGTAAAGCCACAACACGCAAAACCTTGAGGCGGATGGGCTACAACAGCAGAAGACCCCACCGGGTACTCCACTACAAATAGGAAAAAGAGGCTACAATTTGCAAGAGCTCACCAAAATTGGACATTTTCTTGATTTCTGTTGAGACATTCAGATGGTAGAGTCAGAATTTGGCGTAAACAGAATGAGAACATGGATCCATCATGCCTTGTTACCACTGTGCAGGCTGGTGGTGGTTGTGTAATGGTGTGGGGGATGTTTTCTTGGCACACTTTAGGCCCCTTAGTGCCAATTGGGCATCGTTTAAATGCCACGGCCTACCTGAGCATTTTTTTCTGACCATGTCCATCCCTTTATGGCCACCATGTACCCATCCTCTGATGGCTACTTCCAGCAAGATAATGCACCATGTCACAAAGCTTGAATCATTTCAAATTGGTTTCTTGAACATGACAATGAGTTCACTGTACTAAAATGGCCCCCACAGTCACCAGATCTCAACGCAATAGAGCATCTTTGGGATGTGGTGGAACGGGAGCTTCGTGCCCTGGATGTGCATCCCACAAATCTCCATCAACTGCAAGATGCTATCCTATCAATATGGGCCAACATTTCTAAAGAATACTTTCAGCACCTTGTTGAATCAATGCCACGTAGAATTAAGGCAGTTCTGAAGGCGAAAGGGGGTCAAACACAGTATTAGTATGGTGTTCCTAATAATCCTTTAGGTGAGTGTGTATATATATATATATATATATATATATATATATATATATAAAAATATATAGTGCAGAAGTCATGTGGATTTCTTTTGTTGTTGTTATTTTTGGAGCATGACACCCCGTGATCTGTCATTTTATAAAAAAAAGATTATTTCCATGAATTCCATGGAAAAAAAACAGCATACAGGTTTGGAACGACATGATGCAAATGGAATTACAGAATTGTACTTTTTTGCTATCTTTTCCCTTAACAAGTCTAATCATTGTTGCTTTCCCAATACTTGATGACCCAATGCTCTTTCAAACTCACCCCAGGCATATACTCCATGAAAATAGTGAGGGTCTTCTCACTGTGGTCTCTAAGGCAACCATAGTACTGGACGATTCGTTCATGGTGCAGGTTCTTCAACAGCTGTATCTCACACTCTAAAGCGCTCACCTCCTGCAGAAAGGGGGGCAAGAGTCATGACACGACCACAGCTGAGCCGAGCGGCTGTGACCAGAGGGAGCATGAGCATATAGGTGGAAGATCAACTGAAAGAATATAAAATCACAACACACTAAAGCCAAACAGAGGATAGGAAACCACAAACATAATGGAAGCATTTAATTTTTTGATTGTGTGAGCAAGCATATGTGTGTGTTTGTGTCAACAAGTGAGGGCATGATCAATGTGAAATGCGTTGTTAGACTACACCACTTGCCCTCGCCTCAAAACCCCCCTCTGCCCAACACACACAATCACACACAGATACAGGAAGCGACAGTGCGTGTTTTTGCAATGGCAGACAGGAAAGGGTTTAAAGAGTGGGGGAAAAGTTTGAAAAAGAAAGATATAGACATAAATCAAGAGAAAAGAAAAGAAATATGCTGATAATCTCAAAGAGAAAAAGAACAAAAAGAGAAGAGAAAAGGCTAAATAAAATAAAATAAATATGTGTAGTGTACCTTACTGGTCTCTGGACTGGCAGGGTCAAAATGAACCTGTTTTGCTGCAAGTTCTCTGCCTGTGTCCACATCATAGCACAGATAAACCCTTCCAAAAGCACCCTGGCCCAGCAACTTCCCCCTACGCCACGTCACTGGAGCTGTAGGAGCTGCACATAATGCATATAATGATACAACAATGATAAATGAAACCAATCAATTGACAATTTCACACAAATATATACATCTTAAATACATCAAAGCAGTTGACAAATGCGTATAAACACTACTATAATGTACAACATCATAATCTATATCACACTCACACTTATGAGGGACTGGGCGGTCCTGTGGGCGGAGTCTGGCCTGAGTATCCACCAGCTGCCAGCTCCCCAAACTCTCCTCACTGCCGTTCAGCGATCGCCGTGATGGCACCAATGTGAACAAGTTTCCATGGGGACGACGGATCCGCGGAAACGTCCGTCGACCTTAGGAGCAGCATTATTTGTTTAAAATAAAGGACCTGGAGTGTAGGAGTACACTCAAATTTATGAAAGGCCTGAGGATATCGCACCTTCACTGTGGTCTTTATGATGCAGGGACACATGATACCTTCGAGGGTACGTCCCTCCCTTACCCACAATCTTATCATTCGCATGGTTTTCCCGGTCTAAAAGAGGAGAATGGGAAGAGGAGAACGGACAATTGGGTCAATGGAAGAGCAGGTTTGTAAAACTTTATCAATTGATTTACTGATTGCAGCAGTATCTTTATTGAAACACACCAGCACAGTCCTGTCGGTTGTCAGGGTAACTCTTAACCCTGTGTGTACGAGGTTTCCTGAGTGAGGGGCTACGAAACAAGAGACACCAATCAATGCAAAATAACAGTAACAGGTGCTTACAATTACAGTATCATTCAAATACTTTTCCGATTGTATCCTGGTCCTCACCTGTCAGAGTTGCTGTCCAGTGACTGACAGCTGCCGGACACTGAGTCTTCTGCACTGCTCCAAGGATCCAGCACCTTCAAATACAGGTCAATTATAAGTTTAATGGACTCAGATGGCAAACTAGATGATTAGGTGACATTATGTAATTTCTGCAGTGGTATATTTACTTGAATTCTCTCACAGAGCTTCTATGACAATTGTAGAATGTGGCATTTATATGGGAACATCTCACTGTTTCAAGGTAACCCTGACACCTTTTCTGTGCAGTATTTGAAATATATGCGGTACATGTTGCTCTTTTCCACACATACTGGCTGCAAAAATATGCAAGTTACCAATGGTATGATATGGTGATATGGTGTTCTGTTGTTTTACTTTCACTTTCTCCGCTATTACCTCTCAGGGTGGTGCTGTTGGCGGTTAAGGCTGTCAATCATCATTGCGACGTTTACACCTGAATGGGCGTCCCTGCTATAAAAATCTCACGCAGACCGGAAGCGGAAGAGAGAGGAGGAGGGAGCGGATTCCTTTGTTTTGTCACGCTGAGTTGTTGGCGTGTCTTGTTTCGTTTTTTGATTCTTTGTTTATCCTCTTCAAGTTTGAGTTAACAGTTTGTTTTCTCCCGATGGTTTGTTGTTTTTGTATTAAGTTGAAACTTAATTTTTGTAGCTACACGACGCGCAGCACAAATCATTGGTAGAGACTGGACCTCGGCTCGCTGTTTGTGAGTTTCCCAATCTAAATAGTTATCAGGACGTCATCAACAGAAGGGAATTCACATGGCAGAGCATCTCCGCTAAACTAAACGCAGGCCTATCAGGTAAAGTTATGTATAATTTTAATTTAAGTTAAAAAGGCTACAGCTGCGTAGCGCACAGAAGCCGTTGCCATGGTTACTATCCATGGAGCGCCTGTCATTCACTTGCGGAGCGCTGTCTCCCTTTCTGTTCACCTGAGAGAACCTGCCAAAGCCTCTCCACTGCTTGTTTGGGTGGGTTATTTGCTGGCTGACCAACATCCCACCCCTCCTGTGATCCATGGTTTGACTGTAGGCCTATGTGTATTCAGAGCCAGTGAGCAACGGACTTTCAAAATAATAATAAAAAAAAAAAAACTGCGTTAACGTGCGATAAAAAAATTGTCGGCATTAATTAATAAATGCGTTAACGCGATAATAACGCGTTAACTTGCCCAGCCCTAATATAAATGTAACGTAATATAAGTAATTGCACAGGAAGATGTTACCACCTGCTGGGCATTGCTGCCTGTCGCACCTCCTCCAGTGCCCATGGGTCAGCTGCAGGGTCATCGGCCAGAAACCACCGTTCACCGACGTTTCGCTCCTTTAATTCTGGAACGTCTCCTGGTGGCAGAGCAGTGACAGGGACGTCTCCCTGTCACCCCCTGCAGCTGATAGCTGTTCTCCCTGCTGCTGTTATCTGGGGTCAGATGTTCTTCCCCCAACACCTATCTTTCCTCCTCAGCCAGAGCCAAAAGCTACCTTTCTCTGCCTCCTCTGCCAGATCCTTTGTTGCCCTCCTTAGCCTCCCTCCGGCCACTCCTGCTTCCCTCAAGAGGCGTATGGTTGACACCCCAAGGAAACCTCGGCATCCGACCTCCACTGGTGGATGGTCGTCTGCAGCCAGCCTCCCGGCACTCGGCAGCAAGCTCCGAGTACTACTTGGCCTTCTTCCGTGCGAAGGCGGCCTCGATCCCCTCCTCCAGTGGTACAGTGAGCTCAATGAGGTGCGTCGATCTCGCCTTGATTGACCACACCACTGTGTCTGGCCGGAGAGATGTGGTGGTTATCTCCGTGGGGAACCGGAGCTGCTTATCTAGGTCAACCCTCATGTCCCACTCCTGGTTGGGGAGAAGAGCCTTGCTGTTTCTCTTGATCTGGTGCTTCTCCTTACCCCTCCTTCCGACACAAAGATGGTGGGGTCCTCTGCTGATGGTGGTTGTTTGCTACCCTGTCGACACTCCTCAAGTACTTCGGCTAGCTTTCTCAGGACCTGATCGTGGCGCCATCTGTAGCGTCCCTGTGAGAGAGCGATCTTACAGCCTGCCAAGATGTGCTGGAGACTTGCGTTGGGAGCATTGCAGAGTACGCAGGATTCTTCATTTCCAAACCACTGGTGGAGGTTCCGAGGGCAGGGAAGCGTGTCGTAGGTTGAACGAATAAGGAAACTAAGTCTTGCCTGTGGGATCTTCCACACGTCTGACCAACTGATATTTCCGGTTCATGATTCCCTCCCAGGTTGTCCAGCTTCCTTGTCGACCCTGCGCCACGGCCTTGATTTTGTAGCGATCTTCCTCCATCCTCGTCACCTCTGCTACCACCATCTCCTTCCTTTGCTTGCGATTGGCCTTGGACCAAAAGCGTGGCGTCTCTCCCCATCCTAGACCTGCTCTTCCTACCTGAACTCTGCCCATGATCTCCCGGTGTTGTAGCCGACCGACAGCTTGATCGACCTCGGTTTGGGCATTCCACTTGCGGCCAGTAGGAACCTTGGCATTTGCGTTCTTTACTGACTCGTCTGTGGACTCCCTCAGCTCGAGAACCAACCTGGTCTTTTCTTGCATGTAGCCCAACTGTATGGACTGCAGTGGTAGCTGCAGCATCTTTTTTCCAAATAGACCGGTTTCAGATAGGCACCGTGGCAACCCCAACCACTTTCGGATGAATGAGTTGGCTTTTCCATCCATCTTACTTACAGTTGATGAGGGAATCTCACTCATTTTCACGGGCCACATCACCCTCCTGTAGAGTGTAAACTGGTAGCACCAGACCTTAAACTTCCCAGGGAGTTGGCTTTGGTCGATCCTTGCCAGTCCGTCGGAGAGCTGCTTCATGACGGTTTTCCCCATCTGTTTGTCAGATAGGTCTGCAGTGTACTGCCTCCCCAGGCTTTTGATCGGTTGCTCTGATAGAAGTGGGATTTTTTCCCCTCCAATGACGAAGATGGTATTGTCATTTCTGACTCCTCTCCTGAGGACAAGCTCCGAGACTTGGAGGGCTTGATCTTCATTCTTGCCCATGACATCAATTCGTCCATCCTCTCAGCAGTCTTGATGTACATGCTGCTGTCTGAAGGAGGCTGGTGACATCATCCATGTAACTCCTCAGTGGGGGAAGCCTCTTGCCAGTTGGGAGTTTGATCCCCCCAACCATTTGCCTTTGCCCCGATTGAGGATTATCTCAAAGGCTGCTACAAACAGTATTGGAGAAATAGTACACCCCATCGCGATTCCTACTTCGAGCCGCTGCCATCCGGTGGTGAAGTCCCTGGAGGAAAAACACATCTGCAAGTTGCTAAAGTACTGAGCTACCAGGCTCTTGACGCAGGTGGGCATGTGGAAGAATTCCATGGCATAGTTGACCAGCTGATGCGGAACTGATCCGTACGCGTTGGCAAGGTCGAGCCAGATGACATGCAGGTCGGTCTTCTCCCGCTTGGCCTTCTGGATCTGGTCCCAGATCATAGTGGAGTGCTTTACACATCCTGGGAAACCTGGAACTCCTGCCTTCTGGCAGTTGGTGTCAACATAGCCATTCTCGAGCAGATAGTTAGTCATCCTCCTGGCTAGCACTGAGAAGAAGATCTTTCCTTCTACATTCAGTAAGTGCAATGTTCCGGAATTGGCTAATGTCTTTGGAGTTCGTTTCCTTAGGTATGAAGATTGCTACCGCTCTTTGCCACTCAGATGGAATGATTTCTTTTTCCAGGCAGTTCTCATCAGATACCATAGTAGCTCTAGTACCTTGGGGCAGTTCTATGTTATATAATAGAACAGCATATATACTTTTATATAAGTACACTACTGTACAAAGTTTGGTGTCATGAATTTAAAATAATAATACATTTCTTCAGCAAAGAACACATTAAAACGAACAATAGTGACAATAAAGACATATACATACACACATGTAAATATTTCAAATAAATGCTGTTCTTCTGAACTTTATATTCATCAGAGACTCCTAATAAATGTTTTGCACAACTGTTTTCAAACTTATTAATACAAAATGTTTCTTGAGCATCAAATCATCATATTAGAATGAAAATGAAAATGAATGAAAAATTATCACAAAGCACTAAACCTGTTATAGTTAAAAAGTGCCTCATATACATATTTGCGCAAGTGTCCTTGAACTCACACACTGGTCACTGGTTTCAGGTATGAACTCCCCCTCGCTATTGATGCTGGTGTAAGGATCCCTGACGTGCGATTCGCTGTTGCCGCTCAGGAACGTAACCAGGGGCGGAGAACTTCGCCCTGTATTCTGAGAGCCTAGGTAATGACAAGACAAAAGACATAAAATGTTAAAACTAATAATTTAACAACTCCAAGAAGATCTTTATCTGGCCTTACTGTTAAAGTGGCAAACATATCTCAGTTGGACTGTCAATGCTGTGATGTGAGATTGAGAGTGCACACATGCAACTATTTGTTTTCACATCATGTTTAATTCACTGTTGTATTTTGGTTTCCTTTCAGTCAGTACAGTGATTTAGTAAGAGGGGAAAAAACTACCTTAATTACTCTGAAAATTGACACCTTACAAATCATACACGTTAATATTTTGATTTTGATTTAAATTCGCAAACTGTCATTAATGCCACTGTCAAATAAAGCATATGTATAACTTTATTTCAGCTATGGCCTTGCTGTTAGACTTACATGCTCATACAGGTTGCATGATGTAATCAGACAGTAGATTATTTCGAGCTCAAAGAAAATCTGAAATAAAATGCTACATGATGCACTGTGACAAGGGCATGATCTAAAGTCAAAACAACCCACTGCTCACAGAGGAAGTCAGAGAAACAACAGAGAGAGAGAGAGAGAGAGAGAGAGAGAGAGAGAGAGAGAGAGAGAGAGAGAGAGAGAGAGAGAGAGAGAGAGAGAGAGAGAGAGAGAGAGAGAGAGAGAGAGAGAGAGAGAGAGAGAGAGAGAGAGACCAGGGCAAGAAGATTGATAAGAAAGGCAAAGTGATTTTTCAGTGTGTGTGTGCATGTGTGTGAACTCACTGGTGGAGTGGTGGCGTCCTCTGGGTTCCGAGGACTGGTAGGCAGTGCTGACATCACCAGTGGACTGAGAAGTTTTGATGCGAACTTGCTTACTGACTGTGTGATGAGATGGAGAGGAGGCCTGCACACACCACACACACACACACACGCACACTAAGCATTTAGAAAACATTATGCCGATATTATGGATTCTTACGTGTACTAATTGGCCTCTTTCTAGTGAGCAGAGATTTAATAATATGCTCTGCACCATTTGTCTTCTCTCCAAATTGAACTGGTTGATGTTAACATATATTAATTGTAAGTCTCACATTGCTTTGTTCCTGTGTCAGCAGCATGATCTTGATGCTCTTCATGTTTGAGCTGCGGTCCAGCAGATC